GCCCGCCCGTGTTCGTGATGAGAGTTTGAATACGAAGTGTATCTTTGACTGAACTTACAGTCTCCAGGTAGTTGGGTTTGGAAGCACATGCGTTCTGGCCGTCTTTGTTTGTTTGTTGTAGCCCACAGACAGATGCCTGTCTACTGACAAGGGTGCGTGAACGAGCATTGCGCCCAGGGCTCCCGTTTACACACTGTGCTGAAGCCTGCCTCTGCCATCAGACAGGTTCTCTCGGAAAGATGCTTGTCTTGGTCTCCTTGGGGGGCCCTTAAAAAGAAGCTGAATCAAAACTGTGCCTTCTGAGGGGTCTGCTTGGCCAGAAGGCAGAGGGGTCCGCTCAGAAGGTTATGAAGACTGTGTAGGAGATAACAAAGCAGGTGGTCTGGACTTTTCTTAAGGGCCGTAAGACAACCACAGGAGCTTATCGGAGCGAGTTTTAAGACAATGGAAATCTGCATTGGTGACAAAACCAACCAGGAACATTGTGCCAGGGATCTCCCTGCTCACCCCCAGCATAACAAGGCGCATGCTCATGAGAACTGCCGTGAGAAACCCCACCTGCCCTGCATCCCCGGCTCCGCCCTACAGACTTCTCCCTCGCAGCCCAAACCCCAAGACCATTGAAAGGGAAAAGATGGGTATGCCCCGAGAATGCCCGCACTCCCCACCCCACCCCCCACCCCCGTGCGACGCACAGAATTCCTGCGGGCAGCAGGGTCAGAGAAGGCAGCAGGGCCTCAGGAGGCCCAGACCCAGGCGGAGGTCAGGTCTAGAAACGTAGCCGCCGCCTGCTAGACGACTTTTTCTTTCATGAAGGGTCTGTGATTTTCGAGGCTAAACTTTTTGCCTTACCCTGGCATGTTATTTATCTACTAGAAGGTAAAACCATTTACTTTGATTTCCATTCCAAGGAAACGTTATAAAATTTAAGTAAACACGCGTCTCCAGAAATAGCAGTAGCCACCGCGAGTAAGGAAACCTATAAAACAACTCCAGGGTTTACAGGAGACGAACCATGGCTTCCCCCTTTTCCTTCCAGATAAACCTGCGCCTGATCTTGGTGAGTGGGAAGACGAAGGAGTTCCTCTTTTCTCCCAATGACTCGGCCTCGGACATCGCGAAGCACGTGTATGACAACTGGCCGATGGGTGAGTACGGGCCCACTACGCTCACCCCCCACCCCCTGTTCAACAGCTGCTTCCAGACAGTGGCAGGAGCCTCGCAGACCAAAGTGCAGGAGTCCTTGCCCAGGCAGCGCTGTGCTGAGGGACAGACAGCTTGCGGGTGCCGATCTTGAGCCGAGACCCAGCATGCCATGTCTGACTCGGCCGTTTCCCCGCGTCCCACGAGCGAGCGCCACGGGTGGTGTTTGTGCAGGTGGACTGCCAGCTGCCGTCTGTGCTGCAGCCGCCTGACGCTTGTCTGGGTTCTTTGCAGACTGGGAAGAAGAGCAAGTCAGCAGCCCAAACATCCTCCGGCTCATTTACCAAGGCCGCTTTCTGCACGGGAACGTCACGCTAGGAGGTAAGAGTCGCCAGGGGCACCGGGGTCATGTCTGGCCAAGGGTGGTCCTGCTAAGCTCTTGGTCACCCCACAGCTGATCCCAGGGGGGGAAAGATGAGGCTGTCTGCTTCCTTCAAGATTGACAGCCCCAGACCCCCTAGGGGCACTCAGTTCTCCTCTGTCGGATCAGGATGGACTCCGCGGGACCGGGTCTGGTTTGGGTTTACACGATGGCTCTGTTCTTCCTTGCAATGCTAGTGCCTCTCATGTTACGAAATGAACGTTGAACGTCAAGCTCAGTGTGCATTCTGTCCATCTCTTTGGTATCCCCGCACCTCCACATTCTGTGAGGCGCCCTGGTGGCACAGTGGTTGGAAGCAGTAGGCTCCTAACCAAAGGGTCAGCGGTTCGAACCTCTCAGCTGCTCCACTGTCTGCTTCTGCCCAGATCCCAGCCTTGGAAACTCTGAGTAGTTTCCCTCTGTCCTGTCGGATAACTGCGCAAGAATACACCCAGTGGCCATGGGCTTGGCTTTGGGCTTTCCATTTGTGCCTGTATTGTGGTAAAGCTTCCATATTTATAAACAACACTGTGTACCATTGTGAGAGTCCTTATCTTTTATAAATGTTGATTTTATTATGTTTAAGTTAAGATCATGCACACCAAGTAGAAAAGATTTAGAGTTGGTTTCCAAGAGAATAACAAGTGAGTTTTTCAGTTTGACTCATGCGAAATCGCGCTAATTCCTGAACCCAGAGAAACAGCGTAGTGTAGCAGAGCCCTGGCGGTGCAGAAGAGACGGACAGACACAGAGACAGACATGAGGCGCTCTGTCCCACAAAGATGGTAGTCTCAGAAACCCACGGGCAGCTCTGCTTCATCCGCTGGGTCTCTGGGTCAGAACCGACTGAACGGGTGGGTTTGGGGTTTGCTCAGCAGAGGAGTGACCGAGGAGGAGATTGTGGAGCAGGCCGTCTACCTTGTATCTAGCTCCACCACTCACTCAGGGTTCGTGGGACCCCAGGCCCTCTCCACCCACGTGGATGGCAGTCGTGCCCACCTTAGAGCCCGGGGAGCTTGGATACATGTCTGTGTATCTAGCTATGTGTCTGTGCATCTGCCTGTCTGCCTGCCTACCCACGCTTCCTCAAAACAGCCCCATTGCCATCCACTCAGCTCCGACTCGTCGCGACTTTGCAGGGTACAGCAGAGCTGCCCTGACAGGAGCAGACGGCGGCCTCTTTCTCCCACAGAGGGGCTGAGGGGCTCCAACCACCCCCCTTTCCATCAGCGGCCTGTGGCCACGGTGCTTCCAGGCTCTGGCTTGGCCAGGGTGGACATGCTGTTGTGAGGGGAGAAATGTAGCTTGATGGTGCCCCCTGTGGGGCATTTTCTGTAGTGATCAGGTTTCTTTTCTTTCTTTAAGGTCTGCAAGTAGAATAAGGATTTTGTGGGAAGGAGGGCACAGAGATGCGTGGGGGTGATGATGGCAAGGGATCCATATAGAAAAAGAATGTTTGGAAATGGGTTGTGGTAGCAAATGTACAATTCCACTGGATGTGGTTGAACTCTATGTATCAATCCGAATCAATACAAAATAGAGAAGTCAGAATCTAAAAAAAAAAAGGTAATCCATTTAGTTGCATGTTTGCGTGGGTCTCGTCACTTTCTCTCTAGCCAGGACCGTGATAGAGTCCGTCTTTCCGTAAAGAAAGGACAGTGTGATGTACGTCTTGCCAGCCGTGGGTGGACAGGCTTGTACAAGATGGCATTTCTTCAAGGCGCTCTGGCGTGGCGCAGGAGACCCACGGGGCGCACTCCTCAGACCGTGGCGAGGGAGGGCCGGCCTAGACCGCGTGGAGCAGGCGGAGCGTGCCCCGCTCACCTCACAGGGCTCAGGTTGGGTGGCAGTGCACTGAGCGCTGTGGCCTGGGGTTGTTCACACCTGTGTGTGATTAGAGGGCCCATCCTTAACCAGACTGTGACTGTAACTTCTTCAGTCAGGAGGGGACTTTGGTGCTCTTTTTCCTTTCCCCATGGCTAACGCAAGAAAGCATTATGGAAGGAGTGCTAGGGGCCAGTGGTGAACCGCTCAGCTGCAGGAGAAAGCCCAGGAGGCTGGGAGCCCTGTGCCCTGCTGTAGTTATGGCCGCCGGCACCGACGCACCTGGGTGACCACGGTTTCCGGATGCTGTTGGAACCACCTGTTGAGGTCACTCCTTTCCAGCGCAACCCTTGGAGCACAGGCCTGGGGCCCCTGGATGCCTTCCCAGCTGATGTTGAGCAAACCACCCCCCATGATCCTGATGGACGACCGACAGCAAGCCTGTGTTCTGGAAACACTTTACAGGTTCCAGTGGTAACCAGAAGCACCCCTCGTTCTAAGTCCAAGCACCTCACCGCTTCTCTCTCCGTAACACCGTCAGCATCAATATCCACTCGCTGCTCCTACTTCACTTCCGCTGAGGACACAGCGTGTGTCCATCACCTCCGCAGATGGACACCGTGGGCCACCACCTGGTGCCTGGCATTTCCACAGGAGGGGCTGAGGTCGTGCTTCTTGACATTTCTAAGGTCTTGGCTAGGGTTGTTCTGTGTGTTTTCTTGTTTCGTGGGGACAACAGGAAGGGCAAGTCACAGAAATAATATCCCAGTGAAGAAAGCCAAGTTGACAGCACCCCCCAGAGGGTTCCCCAGGCTTAGCCCATGTGCCACTAGGGAACCTGAGGAAAGGCTGGGGAGAGAAGCGAGAGCTTGCTCAGAGTGCATGGTGGGCAGAGGCCATGCTACTGAGCAGTGGGCCCTCTGAGGCATGGGCCAGGGAGTGGCACACAGCTGGCCTATGCACATGGGGCCTGTGTACATGTCAGGGGTTGAGTGGTACTTACATTTGGTGAAATTTCCTATTTGAAGTCTTGTCTGCATTTTATTTTTTTTTATTATATGCAATATTATTTTTGTCTGCATTTTAATATTGACTCAGGCCTAAGAGATTCCTGCCTTTCACCCCTGCCCTGTTCTTGCCCCAAACGGGCCTTTTCACTCCCATGAAGAGCAACGGCCTCAGAAACCCAGGGGCCGTTCTGCTGTGAGTCGGCACTGACGCAGTGAGAGTGGGGCTCCTAAGGAGTCCTCCTGGCTCAGGGTTGACTTGACCTGCTCGCCGAGAGGTCCTCACGTTGAACCCACATTCCTCTCTGAAGGAGCCAGTCCAGACCGTCTGCTCCCGAGAAGACATCCAGCTTCGGGAGCCCTGAGGCTGTGAGTCTGGACCCACGTGCCCGATGTGTACAGTGTCCTGGGACCTGCAGGCTTCATCTGAACTGCATAGTTCAAGAGACCGACCCAGGCAGGACTAGCTGCACCACACCTAGATCGCATGAGCCGCGAGTAATATTGGAAATAACACAGGCTGAAGTGTGGTCTGGGTGAACACAGCATTAGAATTGGCTCTGCTGGCCGCTTCTAATTTTACTTACTCTTTTTTACCTTCACCTGGAGGGACATAGAAAGCATCCTCATCTTCTGGACTGTTCTCTGTGTGAGCACCACAATCATCTCCCAGCATCGAGAGAACAGTGAGATGCTGAGAGGGCAGGGAGTCCTGTCCTGTGGGGGAGGGGGAGGCTTCCTTCCACCTGCTGGGCCATCCTCATCATCAACACGGAGAAGCGGAGGAATTGGCCGTGGGGCCCAGCGTTATTTCTTCTCTGTCCCAAAAAGGTCATCATAATGTTTGTTTCTGCTTGCGGGGGAGAAAGATCTTTGAACGACGCCATCAGGAAATGATCTCTAGTGATAGCAAGGAGGACCTTTTGGAGAGCAGCGTGCTCTGGCTGGAGAAGAAGACAGGCCTCAGTGTGAACATTTCCCCGTGTCTGCGTCACCGTGCCGTGACCCACACTGCAGGACTCTGCATTGGGCGGCTGGCATCATCTAATCGCCATAGAAACACGTGTCTCCCAGTGTAAACAGGTCCTCGGTCTAGAAAAAGGAGCCTTTGAAACAAAACAAACCATGCTCCCTCTGCTTCTTCTTCTCTCCCGTGAAGGCTCTCTCTGTTAGTGATTAAGTAGGTATTTTCTCTGCTTTCTTGCCTGACAACAGTACTGGTGTATGAGCCGTGCGCGTTGGCCAACACTGGGAAGGCTGGCGTTTGGACTGTATGGGCCAGGGCAGGGAGGCTTCTGAACATTCGTGGAAGAGGCCCAACGTCTTTTCATTGACTACCAGTTCTATTGCTCTGCGATTCCCTTACCACACGATGCAATGGCTCACCCAGAGGGAAGAGTCGTGCGGTTGTGAAATCCAGGATCTTTGCATGCCGCTTCCCTCCACCGTCTGGAAGGCCTCTGTTCGGGCTGCTTCTGGTCAGTTCCTGGGACCCGGGTGGTGGCCCAGATGCTCTGTCAGCGAGCAGTCTGCCTCGTGAGAGCCCCCTCACCAAGCTCATGGTCCCAGGTAGTGACGGTGTACGTGACACGGTGTCTCCTGCTTTCCCCACAGCCTTGAAACTTCCTTTTGGCAAAACAACCGTGATGCATCTGGTGGCCAGAGAGACTCTCCCCGAGCCAAACTCTCAAGGTGAGCCAGGCCTGGAGGCCGCCCTCCGGTGCTGCACCACGGGACAGCCCCTCAGGGGGATGGGTTCCCCTGGACATGCTGAGGGACCGGAACTGCCTCCAGGTTTAGGAATAGAACTTAGGAGGGCAAATAACCAAACATCTTAGAAGCAGACTTAAACTA